ATATATATGTTTATATATATATATATGTTTATACATATATATATAAACAGTGTGTAGCTACAATGAACTTCAAAAACCTGTGTAAAACAGTTAAATAATTGAGAGCATTGTGTACAAGAGGGATTTCATAAAGCAGACTGTACCTCATACAGGTCCTTCTAAAAAAATTAGCATATTGTGATAAAGGTCATTATTTTCCATAATGTAATGATAAAAATGAAACTTTCATATATTTCAGATTCATTGCACACCAACTGAAATATTTCAGGTCTTTAATTGTTTTAATACTGATGATTATGGCATACAGCTCATGAAAACCCAAAATGCCTGTCCCAAAAAATTAGCATATCATGAAAAGGTTCTCTAAACAAGCTATTAACCTAACCATCTGAATCAACGACGTAACTCTAAACACCTGCAAAAGATTCCTGAGGCTTTTAAAAACTCCCAGCCTTGTTCATTACTCAAAACCACAATCATGGGTAAGACTGCCGACCTGACTGCTGTCCAGAAGGCCATCATTGACACCCTCAAGCAAGAGGGTAAGACAGAAAGAAATTGCTGAACGAATAGGCTGTTCCCAGAGTGCTGTATCAAGGCACCTCAGTGGGAAGTCTGTGGGAAGGGAAAAGTGTGGCAGAAAACGCTGCACAACGAGAAGAGGTGACCGGACCCTGAGGAGGATTGTGGAGAAGGGCCGATTCCAGACCTTGGGGGACCTGCGGAAGCAGTGGACTGAGTCTGGAGTAGAAACATCCAGAGCCACCGTGCACAGGCGTGTGCAGGAAATGGGCTACAGGTGCCGCATTCCCCAGGTCAAGCCACTTTTGAACAAGAAACAGCAGCAGAAGCGCCTGACCTGGGCTACAGAGAAGCAGCACTGGACTGTTGCTCAGTGGTCCAAAGTACTTTTTTCGGATGAAAGCAAATTTTGCATGTCATTCAGAAATCAAGGTGCCAGAGTCTGGAGGAAGACTGGGGAGAAGGAAATGCCAAAATGCCAGAAGTCCAGTGTGAAGCACCCACAGTCAGTGATGGTCTGGGGTGCCATGTCAGCTGCTGGTGTTGGTCCACTGTGTTTCATCAAGGGCAGGGTCAATGCAGCTAGCTATCAGGAGATTTTGGAGCACTTCATGCTTCCATCTGCTGAAAAGCTTTATGGAGATGAAGATTTCATTTTTCAGCACGACCTGGCACCTGCTCACAGTGCCAAAACCACTGGTAAATGGTTTACTGACCATGGTATTACTGTGCTCAATTGGCCTGCCAACTCTCCTGACCTGAACCCCATAGAGAACCTGTGGGATATTGTGAAGAGAAAGTTGAGAGACCAAGACCCAACACTCTGGATGAGCTTAAGGCCGCTATCGAAGCATCCTGGGCCTCCATAACACCTCAGCAGTGCCACAGGCTGATTGCCTCCATGCCACGCCGCATTGAAGCAGTCATTCATGCAAAAGGATTCCCGACCAAGTATTGAGTGCATAACTGAACATGATTATTTGAAGGTTGGTGTTTTTTGTATTAAAAACACTTGTCTTTCATTGGTGGGATGAAATATGCTAATTTTTTGGGACAGGCATTTTGGGTTTTCATGAGCTGTATGCCATAATCATCAGTATTAAAACAATTAAATACCTGAAATATTTCAGTTGGTGTGCAATGAATCTGAAATATATGAAAGTTTCATTTTTATCATTACATTATGGAAAATAATGACCTTTATCACAATATGCTCATTTTTTGAAGAGGACCTGTATATATTTACTGCTAGACTTTTAGGCTGTGATCATCTTACAATTAGAAATGACAGAGTTGGAGCTGTTTTGTGATAGTCCAGTATCTGTTAGAGCTTGGGGTGTGTGTTGTGAATGTCTGTCAGCTACTAACACTAAACGTTAGCCTGATATCTGGTACGTTCTCTGAGGTACAGCTGTTTTTGTGCATGTTCAGGTCTTTTGGGTGGCCATCTTGAATAAGGTAGATTTCTAAAGTTTTTCAGCTGTAGTCATATGTGCAGTGATTACTTTATAAGAGTCCATTGAAATCTGTCCAGTGGTTCTTGAGGTATTTTTTCTACCAGACAAAGTAGACTCCAACAGTTAAAGCCAAGGTTTTAAACAAAGATGTTGAGCAATGTGATGCTCTTGAAGTACGTGTTGGGCACAATGCTTAGGTACCACCATACCATACGGGCCGAGATGGGGTAGAGGCAGGGCAGCTGACCCAGGACCCGAAAGTCCCAGGTTCAATCACCAGCCAGTCCCACATGTCGTGGTGTCTCCGAGCGAGACACTCAATCCCCAACTGATCCCCGGGCGCCTACATAGCCGCCCACCGCCCCACCTGGATGCATCCCAGGTGCAATGGGTCAAATGCAGATAATCCCCTTCGCCTTTGTACGGGAACATGCAGTGATGACAACACATAACACTTTACTTTACCAAATTATAGCTCAAATTCAAAGCAGTCTGCTCCTCAGATAAATAGTGTTAACTTCTTATTTTTTACATTTGAACGTTTCTGTTCAGTGCCCTGACTCGACTTCTGTTGTGACTTGGGGCTTTATAAATAAACTGAGTTGATAATAAAGATTCTTTATTGTCATTTGCATCACTTGTGGTACATGAGGTGGAACAAAATTGTGTACTGTACTCAAGGACCCAGTTACTCCCAAAAATAGCAAAAATATAAAGTATAAAAAGAAACCATATAAGGATCTAAGATCTACGCTAAAACACTAATAATGAAAAAATAATACGGTATATTAAATGGTATAATATATACAGTATGGTACATGCAGAACATACACAGTGTACAGGTAGTACATATACACATTACATACAGTATATGCTATACATACTCAGAGAGAGTATATATAGCATATACTGTACACACTACATATTGTACACAAAGTACATATAGTACATACAGCACATACACCACATACACACAGTGCATGTAGTACATATAGTACATATACACAGTACATATAGTACATACAGCACATACACACAATGCATGTAGTACATATACACAGTACATTTGCACAGTACATACCGTACATATACACAGTACATGTAGTACATACAGCATTTATATCTGGTACATGAAGTGCATTATGTCCATATAGTACACACAGTATATAGATGTAAGAACAAAGATAACACAAAAAGAATATCCTGTAGCTGAAAGCTTCTCTGAAATTTTTTTTAGCTGTAACTAAAAAGTAGCAAAAAGCCAATTAAAAGCTAAAAGTAACCAAAAGAGTTAGCAAAAACCTAATAGGAAAAGACTAGTTAAAAGCTAAAGTAGCACAAAAGTGTAGCTAAAATTAAAGTAGTCAAAGGATAACAGTAAGCTAAATGGAGCAAAGGCCAGCTAAAAAAATAAAGTTACAAATAGCTAAAAAAGATAGCTAAAGGTTGCTTCCAGGACATGACAACACTCCAAATTCAGCCTTCACGTCGTGTGTAATTACACATCACTTAACATGTGCGCTGAGCAGCAGAGTTACAAATGAACCTCTGCGTCAGATCCAAGATTGAAATATTAAACCCTGCTGCTGTGACAGTGACAGTGGGGGTTATAAATGGTAACAGTTCAGAGATGAACAGAGGAAGGACATGATTATTCTCCATGATGAATAGGTAGGATGAAGAGTTTACGGAAACATCCACATCATCACTTGGACAGACTGTGAGAACAGAGTGAGTCAGAGAAAAGCTGGAAACGCAGATAAGAGCCAATAAGTGAGCGTGGAGAAGCTCAGGACGCTGCTCTGCACATGTCCTGCACCGTCACCCTGCACAGATCGTCGAGGATTAAATCCTGTTGGTGGCGTGAGCTCGGAGCCCCTCTGGAGGCTGTGATCCAGGGGAGAGGACGCCTGTGAAACAGCCTCACACAGCCAGTGTGACGGCAGTCAGAGGAAGACATTTAAAATGATCTGTGAAATGCTCAAACAAGCACTGAGAGTGGCAGCCATGCCTGCAGTGTAGCAGGAGAGCGCACACACGAGTCGGAGGAGATGAGATGTGAGCGCCTCCTCAGCGTTATATGGAGGGTGAAACCCCAGACTCTAGGTCTGTAGGAGCTGCTGACTGTTGTGTGTGTGACAGCTGGATTAGGGTACAGCCTGCCGTCTGCTTGGTTTCTGAGGCGAGAACACAGAGAGCTGATAAATCACTCGTGCTTTTTGCTGATGGCAGAGCTGACAGCAGAGATGTTTTACTGCAAGAAAAACAACTATATATCTATATATAGATA